GCTTCTCCCTGCACAGCCCCGTGCAGCTCTCCGAGGAGGAGCTGGACTTCTTCACCAGCGCGCTCTGCACCATAGACCTGCAGCCGCTCGGCTTCCTGTAGCCGCCGGGCACGGACCCGCACGGCCCCGCGGCACGGCCAGCGCGGGGGCACCCTAAAAACGCTCCTCCCTCACCCATCACCTCCCACGGACATTTCATTTTAAAACGCTCCGCACCGTGGGATCCGCTACTCTCCGAAATATTTATTCGAACAGATTCACATAAAAGAACCCTTTTTTTCCCCCCTAAATTCAGGTATTTCGTTCTAGTTATGTTGTCTTATTTATTTTTTTAAAGCAAGCACCTGACAGTCCTCATGCACATTGGCGACTTCACCCCAAGAGAAGACATCTGTAAATCCTTCAAGTGAATTGCTCAGGAATCAGAACGAGACTTTTAGATTTCTTAATAAAATAAAAATAGAGGATTTTTCCTCTTTTTTTTTTTTAGTTTTAGAGTTAGATTATTTATTCAAATTCTTTAATAGTAAATGACAAATTATTTATTGTATATTATTTTCATAGCGTAAATAAATGTCTTTATAAAATCAAGAACGTGTGTTACTAATTACTATATATTTCACTCAAAAAATGCTTTTTTTTTTCTTGTCTAAAATAGCCGCCTTCCTTTTCACTGCTTTGGAGTAATCTGATGCTCTAGTCATCTGTTTGCGACTATTGAAAGGGGAGACAAAAGAAATTGCTCCCAACTACCATTTCAAGAGGCTCCAGAAGTCACAAATACTCGCTGTATTCAACTCTGCCTGCTTTTTCCGCGAGTTTTTTTCGGGGGTTTTTTTTTTTTTTTTTTAATGGGAGCAGGACATTTGCTTCCAATTTTAAACAATTGTTATTTTAAGAAAAAGAGAGAAAGACAGAAAGAAAGAGAGAAAGAAAGAGAGAAAGAGAGAGAGAAAGCAAGCGAGCCAACCCCTGCAGCTGGAAAGGCCCGCGGGGGGACAGGGACAAGGACAGGAGAGGGACAACGAGCACAAAGGCAGTGAGGGGAAGGCGTGGGCGGCGCCCCCGCGCGCGTCCCGGCCCCGCGTGGCCGTGGGGGGGCTCCCTGCCCTGTCCCCCCCAGCCCGGCCCCGCTGCCTTCAGCCCACTCCTCCTCCTCCTCCTCCTCCTCCGAGCTCTCACAGCACCGAGCACACAGAGGCAACGTGGGGCCTGGCCGAGGCTCAGACGCCCCGGACCGCAAAACAGGGCCGGGAAGGGGCTCGGAAGGGCTCGGGTAGGGGCAGAAAATGCCCCCGGGGCGGGATGATGAAGCTGCGAGCGGGCAGCAAATGGAGGTGATCAAGGGAGAGGGACTGGACATGAATCACAGAGAGGTCTGTTCGTTTCCCTCCCCCTTTCCCTTTCATTTTCCCTTTCCCTTTCCCGATCTCCTCCTTTTTAGCGGCGCGGACCAGAAACGCAATAAACCCGCTCTCTCTTCCCGGGCAGTCTGTGCGACTCTGCCCCGGCTCCCTCTCTGGAATCTTTCTTCCTCCATGGAATTTTAAATACCAAACTCGTATATCAAAGAGGGAGGGGGAGGGAGGAGGTGGGGACGCTTATGAATGAAAAGGGGTCAGCGCAAGAATCACTTGCCGTGACACCCAAAATAAATCACGTTACGTCTTTGCTAAGTCACTGGGGTTTCCTCAGACACGGCAGAAATTTGGGAGGCGGCGAACCGGGACCGTGGGGCGTCGAGGAGGCCTTGAAATGGCGCAGCAGCCTCGCAGGCCCGGGGGGCGGCGGGGGAGGCTCTGTGGCGGGGAGGGCTGAGGAGCCGCCTGGTTCATGTCGGTGCTCGGGGTGCCCTCGGGTGCCGCCACCCTCCCCGCCGCGCGGATCGCCAGCGAAAACGCGGAGTCTGCGAAACTTTGCGCCCCGTGTTTTGATTTCTGACCCAGAACCTCAGCCGCGGCCTGTCTACTTCAGGCCATGAAGAGAAATCAAACAACCTAAAGGAGCCCGTGGCAGATGTTTTCGGAGCAGCTGCTGGAGGCTCTGGGCTGTCTCCTCCCGCTGAAACAAAGGGCGGAGGGTGGTATTTTCCCAATACCTTTTTATTCTCCTCAGTCCCCCGCCCCGCTGGGAGAGCAGGTCCCCGGTCTGCCGCGCTGCACCGCGGAAGGCCCGGGCTGCGCTGGGCGCGGAGCAGGCAGCGGCTCCGAGGTTCAAGCGCGCATTAGATCACCTCCGCGCAGGGCCAAGCGCGCGATTTACGGCGCGCTGCGCTGCGCTGCGCTGCGCCCCCCGGCCCCTCCAACCCCCACCGTCCCCTCCCGAGCCGCCGGCGCTCGCTGCGCAGCCGCGGAAGGAGGGCGGCGGATCCCGCGCTCCACAGAAGGCTATTCATTATCTTTAAGTTTATTTAATATCTCCAGCTTCTGGAACATACTCGGCGGCCGCGTTGGCACTGCCAGACGTTCTCTATCAAAGCGCCATTTGTTCCAGTGCTTTAGAGATCGCCCGCCCCCCGCGCCGCGCTCACTACGGGCTTGTTGTGCACGCAGGAGGGGGAC